AATTCTAACTCCTGTTCTCTCTCTCTCTGTTTTTCTTCAAACTCTCTCTGTTTTGCCTCCATCTCCAATCGTTTCATCTCTAACTTGTACTTAAAAGCCATTTCTGAGAAAGGTATTGGCTCATCTGTTTCAGAGCTCGAATTTTCCTCTACTCTTTCCTCAGCTAGCTTTCTCTGCCGCCTGGTAGCCATTTTTTCAGCAACTTTTACCTCACAACTTATTTCAAAATTAAACTTAAGGCACTCGATTAGCTGTTACACGAATCCCGTCGTCTGCCACCAAATTTGCGAAGCCGCGTCCCCACCGCTCGTTACTACAATTCGAAGCCGTTCACTTGCTGCCACCAAAATATGTGAAGTAGTCTCCCAAAAATAAAATAATGGCGTGAAATCCCAACTAAATAGGATCACCACACAAATGTAATGAGAATTTGAGACTTCTAGGTTAAGCTGCCACCCTAATATAAAGAGATATTGGTAATATAATCTCTGTTTCTTCTTATCTGGGTTGTGAGGCCAATTTGGTAGTGTGGATTGTGCAAAACGTTGAAATCAATGGATGAGGCAGGTTTTAAAACACAAAGAGAACAGATTTATTGTCGGAGCGTAACTGTTGCAATATTAACTGTTGAACTTGGCACAAGCTTGATGGTTACAAATATGGCTTAGTTGAGATACATTCAGGTGATGTTACAATTCTTTGACTTCTTCTACAATGAGGTGCTTTAATATTTCAGTTCCCTATTGTGAATATTTACAACTGTTTGTCCTACACAGGATCAAACTAGCGATCTCCAGCCATTCACCACTGGGATCCCTAAACCTCTTTCTTGTTAGATTCTTCCTTTACTCAAGCAATCTAACGAGGTTTCACCTCCAGCTTCCTAGCTGGAATAATATTCACAAATCCTAAGAACTGGCTGAATTTACACTACACCACAGAGCCTCAACTGACTCTGCCCCTCAGGGTTTCATTCCCCTGACTGAACTATTATCCCAGAGTCCCCTTTGACTCTGTCCTTCAGGGTCTCATCCGCCTGACTGAACTATTATCCCAGAGTCCCCTTTGACTCTGTCCTTCAGGGTCTCATCCGCCTGACTGATTTTAAACTGTCGTTTTCAAACCTTTCCTACTTAAGCTCCGCCCACCTCCTCTGGCCTGTCACCATGGCAACCTATCTCTCTCAGCTAGGTCATGGCTACAATGTAAAGCATAAACACAGTTTAAAACACAGTTATAATAATCACTTCTCTACAGCTCCTAATACAATAAATCTTTGATTTATTAAACTAATTTGAGAGCTTTAAGGGATATGCTCTGAGATATACAAAGTAAGAAGCTTGTGGGTGTATGCTGCATTCTTTTCTACATAAAATTTCTGTCTATATTTAGATCCAATCTAAATAAGTACAAAAATTAAATGTTGAATAAGACCATTTTTACTTTTTAATTTTTTTGTTAAGCACTGTTAAGCTTTCTTAAGCAATTTTTATGAAGAACTGGTTGAAATACAGTAGTTATTTTAATATTTGGGTATGATTATTTACTTGTTTTAATAATAGCATAGAAAATTTCTGCTTTTTATGGAAACATTCTGTGGCAGAATGAAGTTTATATAAGATGTGATAACAAATCGTAAACATTATAATTTGGTATTATACCAACATAATGTAGTATTTGTGAATTATGTTTCTGTATACTAACTCTTGGAAGCTCATTGCAATTTGGAATACGTTCCTATTTAATAGGTACTAATTTGTTCAACTAATTTTTGCAGCGTGACCATTTACCATGCATACTTGTTTATAGGCCAAAAAGAAAACAACCCCCAAAACCTTAGGCAACATACACTGCTTCAATAGGGACTCAGCAAGAAAGCAGACCTGAGAATGTTCCTTCTCCATTACCCTTCCTTTGCCCAACTAATGAAAGAAAGACAGTCCTCGCTCCTTTCTCTCCTCTCCTCCCCCACCTTGGGCGGGGAGCCTAAAAAATGTCGTGCACCCACTATTTTGGGAACTTGGGGTGAAGCAGAAAGGTGGCAGTCATATTTATTAAGGACTTATTGCCGAAAATGTATTTGCAGAGAGACTGCAGTGGCCATTTTTTACAGGAACAGACAGGCTTTTACAGCAGGCCCCTAAAGTTTTCAGTCATTGTAATGAAAACAAACTCTTTTAAATAATTAAATGTCCAAGCTCTGTTTAAAACAGTAAACAGTCCTAATTAGATTTCCTCTTCTTCAAAGAACAATGTTGAAGGCAGTGTTTTGTTCTCCAGAATGACTTCAAAAGCCTAGATTTGAGCTGTTTGCCTTTGGGGCTTATGCAGTTTACATATGACTCAGTTCAGCTTAGGTAGATCTGTGGTGCATTTTGAATCCACACGATTCTTTCTCAGCTTGGAAGCTAAGCAAGGTCAGCCCTGGTTAGTACTTGGATGGAGCCGCCAGGAAATATCAGGTGCTATAGATGTTTCAGAGGAAGGCAGTAGCAAACCAACTTTTAAGCATTTCTTTCCTAAGAAAACTCTATGAAATTAATTGAGTTGCCCAAAGTTGATGGGCAACTTGAAGGCACATACACAGATGCACAAAAGTTGTATACATCTGTATTAATCTGATGTTGCTTAGTAGCTGCTACTCTTGGTTCCTTTATGGTCTTTATTGTTACTATTGTTATTGCATGAATTCTTATGTCAGGGTATTTATTTATTTATTTATTTATTTATTTATTTATTGCATTTGTTGACCGCCGTTCTCAGCCCCTCAGGGCGACTCACGGCGGTGTACAACATATAAAAACAGTTTACAATACATATACATATAATTAAACTAAATCATCCGCGTCGTCTCATCATAGAATCATAAACCAATCTCCTAATCCATATTCCGTTCCAGTCGTCATTGCCAATTGCAAAGCACTTAGTTAAACGCCTTTTCGAATAACCAAGTTTTTAGGCCCTTACGGAATGCCATAAGGGAGGGCGCCTGTCTGATGTCAACAGGGAGGGTGCTCCATAGCCGGGGGGCCACCACTGAGAAGGCCCTATCTCTTGTCCCCGCCAGACGTGCCTGTGAGGCAGGCGGGATCGAGAGAAGGGCCTCCCCAGATGATCTGAAGGCCCTTGTGGGCTCATAGGCCGAGATGCGGTCAGAAAGGTATTTTGGGCCGGAACCGTTTAGGGCTTTGTAGGCCAACACCAGCACCTTAAATTGGGCCCGGTAGCAAATCGGCAGCCAGTGGAGCTGGAACAACAGGGGCGTTGTGTGCTCCCTGCGTCCTGCTCCTGTTAGTAGCATGGCAGCCGCGCGCTGGACTGGCTGCAGCTTCCGGGCCATCTTCAAGGGCAGCCCCACGTAGAGAGCGTTGCAGTAGTCAAGTCGGGATGTGATCAGAGCGTGTACCACCGTGGCCAAGTCAGACTTCCCGAGGTACGGGCGCAGCTGGCGCACGAGCCGAAGCTGTGCAAATGCTCCCCTGGTCACCGCTGAAACCTGGGGATCCAGGCTCAACGATGAATCCAGGATCACACCCAAGCTGCGAACCTGCGCCTTCAAGGGGAGTGCGACCCCATCCAGCACAGGCTTTTTATTGCTTTTTACACAGTATTGCTTTTTTTTTTACACAGTATTGCTTTTTTCACAGTATTGCTTTTTAGTTGCCCAGAACATTTTTCTACCAAGTTACAATCCCTGTCCAACAGCAAAGAAAGAATGCATAAAACCTTCTTTGTGGTCTCTGTGGCTTATAGGTATGAGCTGTTCTGTGGCTGTGCAGAACATTTTGGAAACTTATAGAACTAGGCAAGCATTTTCCCCCCTGATAGCCACACCCCTTGTCCATTGTGCATTTCTACTCTATTCCTGTATTCCTTTGAATTTGCTGAAGCAGCATATGGGGGCATCTTCTGTTACACCAAGATCTTTCATTTGTTTTTCAGCTTGCATTCCTAATGTGGTTTACTCTGATCTTAATTTTTGGTTGTTTGGTTTTCTGTTGTTAACTATTATTTGTCTTTTCTCTTCATGAGTAATATTTATCCAAAGCATGGGCAAACTTCATCCCTCCAGGTGTTTTGGACTTCAATTTTGACTCCCAAAATTCCTAACAACCAGTGGGATGTTAGGAATTGTGGGAGTTGAAGTCTAAATCACCTGGAGGGACGAAGTTTGCCCATGCCTGATTTACCCTGTGGCATCAAACACAATTGTTCATTGTTCCTAAAGCAATTTTAAAGAAGTATGTTACACAAAACCATTCTCACTATCTACTTTGCTTGGCTGAAAGCCATGTAGTAAAAATCTGCAGACACTGCAAAGTCTTTTGTGGCAGCTTCCACAGCTTTTCTCATGAACATGATTTTGCTAATCATCTATAAAGCTTCAGCATGGACACAACTTGTTCTCTGTGTCAGACATTATAGACTTATGTGTTGCAACACTTAAATATGATAATTTTGAAGAAGCAGAGGGTTTTTTCCCCTTTTGCCTTGTAGTCGGGGAGTTTGACGTTCACACATGTGCCTGAGTCACAGAGACCATGAAAGAGAAAAAGATACTGACATGTAACTAGTTCTCCAAGTGGTCATCTGTGAACTCACACAATTGCCTTGCACCCCATTGCAGCTGTTTTAGCGGCCTCTATTTTTAACTTCCCCTATGCACTATTGCCATATGGTACCGGAAGAAAAAGCAAGGATACCATGAGGAGGGGATGGGGCTACCACCACTAATGGCTTCCTTTAGCTTGAGAAGTTTCCAAAACAATTTGTGCAGGCCCAGAATAGCTCATATATTTTGTGAGTTTACAAAATACTCTTCAAAAAGCCACAGCTACAGGTAAGCAAACTGCTCCTTCTTCAACTCCTACTTTTAAAGTAACATATTAATCTGAAACAGTTACATGTTGATTGTAGATGTGGAGAATTCTGGATGGGAGTCTGAACTCTTTGTTGTTGATATTATTTGCTGACACATGCATCCATTAAATACATTTCAGAGCATCCTTTATGACCAAGACAGTACAATATCAGAATGAATTGCATAAATTCCTAATATGGGATACAGCTGGACAAGAGAGAGTAAGTAGTATCACTGCTTCTAATTTGAAATGTATCACCACACTTGTTAAGCCTGTTAAACCTTCACCAAAATAAGATCTGTGTATCTTTGGATAGTTTGAGACGATACTAACCTAGCTTGGTAACTCATATCTCTTTTTCTTGAGATTTAAATATTTGTGAATATGTTAGATTCATGGGTGTTTGATGGTTAGAGAGCATAAAATATCCTAAATCCTTTCTGTACAAAAAGAGAAACTGAATCTTCTACATTTAAAGCATTGCTGTTTATAAAATTATTTTTCTCATAACTGAAGTCTCCATTATGAATAGTCTGAACTTGACACAGGCATTTGTAGCAAACATACTTGAAAAGCTGTTTTGGAGCTTTCTAAAGAAGTAAATACAATGGAAGGTCAAGCAGAAGGGTTTTTTGAAACCGGTTTTCAATTGTGAGAAAGCAAGTGAGCTGTCAATCTTTCCCTCTCACCCTATGCCCAGCTCCCATCTTCAAGACTATACCCCCCACCCTTCAGATGACCTGATACATCCTTTTTCCTTTCTCAGTCTTCACACCTTCCTACATTTTGTTATGTTTGATGTGTAATTGGGGTACAAAGCATGACCCTAGCAACTGTCCTCTTTCCCCTGCTTTGCAAAGGATTCAAGTTAAGTTCTGTACAAAACTTTTCCACCACCTTTCACATTGTCATCTCACTTTCATCTGTTCCGAAATCCAAGAATGAGAGTAAGTGCAGCCAGTATAAGTTGTTTCTTTCCATCAAAGGGCGTTCACAGAGATATAGTTCAGAGTGTGGTCTCTATCAAAGTCTAAATGCTCCTGAGCCTCAGGATGCATCTACATTGTAGAATGAATACAGTTTGAGACCACTTTAACTGCCACGGCTCAGTGCTGTGGAATCCTGGAAGTTACAATCTAGCAAGACACCAGGACTCCTTGGCAGAGCACACTAAAGGCTTTGTACAACTACAATTTCAATGCTACAATGCATTGAGCCATGGCAGTTAAAGTGATCTCAAACTCAATTAATTCTGCAGTGTAGATGCACCCTCCGAGTGGATCTTGGTGGGCAGTGGATCACATTCATGGGTATTTTTATTCAAAGAAATCAAACCATTTGATATGGTGGCAGTTTTAATCCTATGACCAATAGCTAGCTGGTAGGACACTTCAAATGAATTCTGGGGCAAGCTTAAATTTCTTATTTGATCTCATTAAATTTTTTTACAAATGCACTCTTTTTTAATGCAAATTTATGTAATCCCATTGTGGTTGATTGTGCAGTACTTTCAGAAAGAGGGAAAAAGCAAGATCCTCTTTTCTATTTTTACTTGAGTAAATCTTGCAACTTTTGAGAAATAACATGATTCTTCATCAGCATTGACTGGATTCTGCAGTCTTTTCCTACCATATAGTTACAGCAAGTATGGAGTAATCTTTGTATAGAACATACATATGTCCAATGCTAGAGGATAATTTAGCTTATTAAAATAGAGGGAGGTAAATGTACTGCCTCTGCATATTGATTTAACTGGGAATCAAAGCTGCATGCCTCTGGCTCCAAGAAATTATGATACAAAGAAATGCCTTGTAGTTAATCCACATAATTCCTCCGGGTTTCTGTTTTCCTAAAACTCTTTGTGTTGCTGGATTTATAGTTAACCCAAAACTTTTAAATTCTGCTTATAAAGTACTTTTCAAACCGTTTTTACTGTTTGAATGTGTTCCTCTGTCTACTTTCCCATATCTTTGTGCATTTCTAATATGTCTGTCTTGGCTGATCCCTTATTTTTAATGAGCACCGTTTTAAAATTTCCCATCTTTTTCATTCACTACTATCACCTTGAAATAAGAATATATTTTTTCTATAAATAAAACAGACATATCAAGTAGACATATTAAGTGTGTGCATGTTATCCTGCTTTGAATCATGAAACACCTTTGGCATGAAGTGCCAGGACTCCTTCCCTCAATTGTCTAACTACAAGGAAGTAAAACAAAGTCACGCAACACTACATAGGAAAGAAGTACTTATCTATTGATTTTATGTGTAGCTTTAATTATCTGATTCCTGTATGCTTATTATAAAATAGTGGATTTTTGGCTGGCTTCTTTGACTAATGGTTTACATTGGTTTTACGTCAGTCTATCATGTAATGCAAGCAACAAGCTGGTGATTTAACGAAGTACATCCTCATTCAGTTTTGCAAGCGGCCAGTATGTAATTGTCAGCTGCTTTTATTACTCACCAAGCTTGCATAGGCTTGGGATTTGCATTTAGTTATGAAATCTTTTTTTCCTACTCCCATTAAAACATCATTAATTTAAATACTGCATTCTAGAGCTTGAACTTCTTGCGTTTCAATTTATCAGCATGCAGAGGGAAATCTAAGCTAATTATATCATGCTTCATTTAATATGATGTCACTTGTCTGACTCATTTGTGTGCATTTCTCTGCACCCAGACAATATTTCCTTCATTTTCTGTATTCACTAGTGAAATGCCTTTCACTATGATGGCCAGTATATGTGCTCAGGTGAGGAAGGAATGCAAGGAATAAGTAGTAAGTTTTAACTGCAACTAAACAGCATTTTTACCTGTGAGTTGAATTACTTATGAAACTTATCAGCTTTGTTCAAGGCAGTCAGTTTTATATTGAGAGACAAGGATAGGCATTGAGAGCTGCCTCTAGTCACAAGAATGCTGTCCTTCACATCATTGGGCCACTGAATTCTCCATGGTTATGTTGAGAATATAGGAACCGTCTTTATAATGCATGGCTCACTTGAGCTGTCTGTCTTAGTATTGTCCACGTGGAGCTCTTAAAGATACTAGACACAAACATTCCCATCATGTCTGCAGATTATGAAAACTGAAATCAGGACATTTTCTCTGTAGAGAATAGTTACATGGCTCCTCTACTTTTGTGTTTGCTCTCAGAAAGAGCATTATGTTCTCATAGCTTGTCTGAAAGATGCAGCACTTGAGGCAAGATTTTCCATGCCTTATTGTCTCTATGATTGTTTTCTTCTGGAATGCGGGGGACCTATTTCAAATACTTATTTAGAAATGAGACTCATTATGCAACCTTAGGCCGGTCATTTAGTGTCTCTCTAAACTATTTCACAAGGCTATTTATTGTGAGCATGCGACAGGAGGATGGAATCTCCTTCTCTGGAGGGTTTTAAGTAGAGACTGAATGGCTATCTGTCAGGGGTGCTTTGATTGTGTGTCCCTGCGTAGCAGAAGTGGGGATTGGACTGGATGGCCCTTGTAGTCTCTTCCAACTCTATGATTCTATGAAGGAGACCATGAGAAACAACCCCAAGAGCCTCCAAGGAAGGGTGATATACAAATGTGATAGTAGATAAATACTATTCACCATAACACAGTAATATGCCTGATTGAGCTCCTCTTCACACTACCTCCAGTGTGTTTTAATATGGCATAGAAGTAATTGTTACATGGTCTTCCTCTTTACAGTTTCGTGCTCTGGCACCAATGTACTACCGAGGATCTGCAGCAGCTATTATAGTGTATGACATCACAAAAGAGGTAATTGAAATATACTTGCAAAAATGTATATATAGTCACAGTATTTTTGCATTTACTAATTCTTTCACTCTTTTGTAGGAAACGTTCTCAACATTAAAGAATTGGGTGAAAGAACTTCGCCAGCATGGACCTCCCAATATTGTTGTAGCTATTGCTGGAAATAAGTGCGATCTTAATGATGTAAGGTAAACTAAATCACTTCTTACCTCTCTGTAGGTATATATTTAGATAAGAATTATGTAATAAAGTCAGACTTCCTAGTTAGTTCCCAAAAATCTTTAGAGGTCTTTGGATTTTATAAACTGTGGGATGTTGAGGCATGTGTCTTTCATGGATTTTATAAGATTAGCATGAAAGGAGACCAGTTCACTGCAAGAGTTCTGCTCTTGTTGGCTGTGGCTAGGATGCTGGAGGATTGAAAAGGAGATGTACAGTGAAACCTTGACTTGCACGTGAACCAACTTATGTGTTTTTTGCTTTGACATGCGAGTTGAGGTTTGAGTTACGAGCTAGCATGAGAACAAGAGCTAGCATAAGAGAACACCACCCACCATCTTAAGAAGGGCTTTAAGGAAGCAGCCAGGAAAGCTCATTGCTCTTGTCCTTGCTGTTATTTCTGTAATTCTAGGGCTTTGGGAGATTGTAGGAAAGCTGAGGGGCCAAGAGTCTCTCATCCATAAACTTCTATCCTAATTAAAATAGTCAAGTTACACAGATACCTGTCATTCTAATTGATCAGTGCAGAAGAATTTTACTGAAGTTTCCCATTTATAGCAGGAAAAGGAAACCCATGTAATTTCTTATAACCTTCCAATCCTCCCCCACCTCCAATCCCAAGAGAGCTTCTCTATCCTTCCCATTTAAATGGGGAAATTTGATTTAACATAAGAGCAATTTGAGTTAAGACCTCAATCACAGAACGAATGAAACTAGTAAATCAAGGTATCACTGTATAAAGATAGTAAGTCTTGCAGCAGATTGAGGGGGGGAAGGTTTGGAGCAAAGCTGTAAATTTTGATCAATAAGACATGTAGGTAATGCTTGGGAATGGATGGAATTGGGCTTATCTTTGAGTATGTCACTGTCAATTACAGCAGCATGAAACTGAGAGGTTGCCTGTTGAACCCAGTTAAATTGAGTGATTGCAGTGTTTTTAACAATTCTATGCAACCACTGTGTCTGCTAAGATGAGAGAATGAAGTTGAAGCAAACTTATCTCAGTTCAGATACAAATTCCTAAATCTTATTTTGTCCTGACTAGAGTAGACACTTCAAATCAATTCCATTTACCCAAGGCTGGATCTATGTTGCCTTATAATCCAGTTCAAATAAATAATCTGTGATCAGATCCTTAGATACAGGGCAGTGTAGATCCAACTTCTGTATTTATGTATTAACTCAAAATTTAGCTGTTGATTAAATAGTCTGCTCTAGTTGTTACCAAGGAGCATGATGCCATCTGACACATCTAAAACCAACCATAATTAAATAGGCTGGAAGTGACTGAAAAATACTAAAGATATATTTTAAAATACCCTGATATAATGCATCATTAGTCATATCTTACATGCTGTTTCTCTTGAATTATTCTACTAAAATGATCTTCTGCCTTTATAGTAATTGTTTAGAGTTGTAAAGTGACTGACCTTGTATTGTGATTGAAGAAAATTAAATCCATGTAGTTTTGTTTGCTCATCCATCAATAATGTATGGTGTCAGTTAAGAAAAATACCTAGTTATCAAGCACTCCCCCTTTCCTGCTTGATTTGACCCTTTTCATATGACTGTTTAATGCATCGTAAAAATACAGAGGATTTCAGTAATGTTAGTAGAGTGAAAGGCAGGCCTGTCATCATATTGGTAACTTTTGTATGTCTCCCAGATAAAGTCACTTAAATAGGCATTAGATTAGTTCAAATAGCTTTTTATAGTTGATTTATTTCTGGCTATTTTTTCCCTAAAATGGGGGGAAAATGATTTATAGAGTTCTTATATTCTTTGTCTTTCTTTCTCTCTCCTTCCCTAGAGAAGTCATGGAAAAAGATGCTAAAGATTATGCAGATTCCATTCACGCAGTATTCGTAGAGACCAGTGCAAAAAATGCAATAAACATAAATGAACTCTTTATAGAAATTAGTAAGTATTATCAATAAATCAGTGGGAATTTCTCTTCTTCCATTCATTTTGAATCACAGTCATTTAGCTAGAATTTGTTACTGCCTATTGACCATTGGTTTTGTATTTGTTACAGGTTAATAGAAACACAGAACAATGTGGACTTTTTTTCACAGGGGTTCTACCTGCTTATGCATTAGCGGTCGGTCTACATCCTTCTTAATAGATAAATAAATGTGATCTCTGAAACAAACATATGGATCTGCATCTGTGCAGAACATTACTTTCTGATTTTCTAGAGATATTTTGATGTTTATCCTTTCTCCTTATGTGTACCCGCTGTTTTTCCTCAGTTCTTCTTTGTTTGCCATAGTGGTAGCATCCCAGTAGAACTTCTCTGGCACTTCTAGAGACTTAGGCCTTTTTTTTCCTTCTTGTCTATTTTATGTTTCTATTTCATCATTTTCTTATCCTTTTTCATATTTGAGGACAAATGTTTGTTTGTTTTTTCATTCAGCTGATGGCACAATTTCACCCAGAGACCTCTTTCAGATGCTGCTTTCAGTGTAAAGGGGGGAAATCGCTCACTCACAACTATGACAAATTATTCTTGTATTTAGGACACAGGTATAAAATTGATTTGTGTTCAAGTGTGTCAGAGATTCACTGATAAAACATATGGGTTTGGTTGAGACTTCTAGACTCTTAATTGCTCTGAGTTAGTGGCAACCTATGGTTTGCCAGTTTCCTGGCACTCTTAGTTGTCAACACTGCAAATCTCTTGTTGATGGCAAGACATGCACTGTACCTTAAGTATGGACTTATACTGTTGACCCTGACAGATTATTAACTTAGAATGTGACCTCTGAATGTAAAAAGACTTAAAAAGCAGATCAGTCTAGTCTTAGGGAAAAAGAACATAAATAATTTGCTGAACAAATGAAGAACCCAACAGTCACTAGACTAGCATTAATTCTACTAATCCAACCTTCAGGAATGTTTAACACTGAGGTGTTGCCTGTATATTCAAGTTAACAAAATAATTTCATGGTAATATGTGATATGGAATCTACCTCAGAAGGAAATATTCCAGAATAATTGGGTCAAGATTAGAGATAGGAAGGCCTGGGGGGGGAAAAACAGAAAAGTTGGGAAACAGTTTTTTCCCATTTTTTCCCTCCCAATTTGTCCAAAAGCTTTTCTGGGTTTTCCGTTTTTTTCCAGGCTTTCCCATCTTTAGCCAAGATGAATTGAAAATGAGAGCTGTTAAACTGCCAATGTTAAATTCTCAAGCAAAAGTTTTTAAAAGTATAGGTGTGTGGACAGTCTCATTGTCAAAACATGCCTTTGCAAGGTGGAACCAGATACCAATAACTGCTAAACGAGTCATTCAAAATATTGATTTGAGCCAAGAAATGGTTGAGTTCTCTGAATCAGAATATGACAATGGGATGTTTAAGCAGGAAAAAAAAACATTTTGAAGAGTGGAGTATGAATCAGGAAATATTCAACAATTTATGAAATGACAATGGAAATGTTGTGGTGGATCTTTTTGCATCTGGTCAGAATTTCAAAGTCAGAAGGTATTTTTCAGTAGATGGAAGTGCAGATGCAGAAGTTTATTATACACTACTGGTAGATTGGCTGGGAGTTCCTTTGTATAGGTTTCCTCGGCTTGTAGTAAGGCAGAGGGTACTCATGAAAATCAGAATGGAAAAGGCAGAAGTAATCTTGATTGCTTTGTACTGGTTATGCAGACTATCATACTCTTGTTAAATATCTCAGTGGAAAGGCCATATTGTCAACCAGAACAGACCTATTGAGTCATGCAAACCATCACACTCTTGTTAAATTTCTCAGTGGAAAGTCCATATTGTTAACCAGAACAGATCTATTGACTCAGTGTCCAGTTTATTACCTCAGTTCACAGTGGGCAAGTCTAACGAAGTGAAAATAGAGTGGTCAGAATCAGTGATGAGTACCTTTTTATCATCTAGATGTTCATCAATGCAATGTGCATGGGAGACCACTTAGAAGGCCTTGTCGAAGTGGTGTGAACAACATTCAGTGTGAATGAAAGAGGTACAGACAAGTGATACCTTGTCCTTTCTACAGAGCAGATTAAATAAAAGAATGAGGGCCAAGTCCTTGAAGAGGCGGGTAGCAACCTTGTCTTCTGTGTTGCTGGTTAATGAGAAGCCTGGATCAGATAATCCTCCTGTCAAACTGTTTTTGGAGAGGAGGGTGATTTTGCAAGCCCATTCAACCATTCATAGATTCCTTACTTCGGATTTGAATTTGGTAAGAAATACAAGACCATCTTTTGAGCCAATTTGTGAAGCATCGCTAAGATCAATGACTTTCAAAATAACATTCCTAGCAGCTATTACTTCAGTAAGAAAAGTGTCAGACATTGTGTCGCTTTCAGTAAACCTTATCCTATGCAGATTTGGCAGAGATAAATAGTCTTTGACTATTGTTCCACCCTTTCTTCCAAAGCCACGTTGTGCTTTTGCATGATTCCAACATTAGAACTTCAAAATTTGTCCAAATCTGACACATCCATTAGAAAAAAAGGTGTTGGGGGTGGTGGTGTGAAGATTTATGTTGAAAGGCCAAGATCAATTAGGTGTATAGATGCATTATTTATTTTGTTAATTCAGGAACATTGGGATTCAAGGTCACCAAAGCAATTATTTCAATATGGTTGTAAGGTTGCATTCATTTATGCTGTGATTATGCACACAAGACCGCAACAAGTGTAGGCACATTCGACAAGATTGATGCCAAGTGCAATAGCATTCAGAGTAATGTCTTCCATTGAAGAAGTGTGTAAAGCCATCAATATTTATTACACAAAAATAAACTGGACCCTGAGTCAATAGATCTGTTCTGGTTAACAATATGGACTTTCCACTGAGAAATTTAACAAGAGTGTGATGGTTTGCATGATGGTTTGAGTGAACTGTATTACAAGCAGTACTTCCAACAACCAGCGGCTACCACCACCCTTGAAGTGTTTGCATTGTGTATATCCTAATGCTCATGGATTGCTCCTTCAGCCCCCCTGAGACTGAGAGGCTAACACATACCATGAATAACCATGGTAGAAAAGCTGAAAGAGCAATCCACCCTCACTTGTAGTTGCATTTAAATACTTTTAAAAGAGAAAATTCTGTCAGTTTGTATCTTTTAAAATCTTTGAGTTACTTTTAAAACTAACAGCACGCAAGGCTATATAACAAAACGGAAAGGAAAGATAACAGAGCAAACCTCAAAATGGTTTTGAACTTTGATCTCCTGTCTTGATCAGATGATATAATCCTTCAACCTTTCTAGAATGATCCTTCACAGTAGGTACTGATCTCTCATTTTCCACCTAGAGAATGCGATATTCCATTGAACATAAGATGGAATACACCACTTTTCCAGTTGCAAAATATCAGAAACCTTCAGCTGAGAAGACATATTGGTGGGATTTATTTCCATCTTCCTTTGCCCTATTAATTTCTTTGGAGATAGGGCATAAGGGGAGCCTGAACCACTAATACCAAAAGCTCTAGATTGTTCTGAAACCATGCTCTACACAGGCACAGACCTATATATGCATAGATGCCTAATATATTTAGAAAACATACAGCTCTAATATCTAAGAAAGTATTAATCTTTTAGCCAGTTTAGGATCCTGCAATACTATAGACTACCTGAAGGAAGAAACCTGCTTCATTGGATACTTCTGTGAAAACTGTATTAGCCTCAAATTTTAGTCTGTGTATATTTTATATAGAATAATCTGTATATATTTTATAAGAAATTCCATAGCTGCTTATAAATGATTTTGTGCCAATAACTTAGCACTGCAAGTGAAAATATTAAGTACTTAGTGCTAACTTGTAGACAATGGAGTTTCTGGTTTATCTTAATAATACAATGGATTTTTCCCTTTCTCTCTCTCTTTCTTGCTGTAGGTCGTAGAATTCCATCAACAGATACCAACCCTCCATCTAGTGGTAAGGGCTTCAAACTTAGAAGACAGCCTTCGGTGACAAAGCGTAGTTGCTGCTGACTGATACCATATTATATCAGATTAGCTTTTACAAATTACTTGGCCTTGGAAGTTAAGGGTTTGTTTTACCTTACTGGTTTCCGAATCCTGTCTGCCTGATGTTCATAGACCCTAAAACGGACTGATCCTGGCATATTTGTACATGCTGAGGAGACGGCAATGGTTATGCTGTCAGACTGTTTGCTTGTGGACTATCTCTTGTATTCAAAGGGAATCATCTTTAATTTCTGCTTTAGCCTTGTGGGAAAGACTCCAACGTACAGATTGTAAGACCTGATATTTCATAGTTTTTTGTAAGCAAAACTTTGCTATGTTTTTGTAAGGGGGGGGGGGGAAACAAGCACTTTGTGGATTTTGATGGGAGTGGGCAAGCTTTGTGCATTCAAATGTGAACTCTGATCTTAATGCAGCTCTGCACTCCATATTTTTGTTCCTGCAAGCCTTACTATTTTCATTTCATTGTATCTCCAAAGTACAGACTGAACAACTGATTCATAGATGGCTGCAAAATAATGATATTTTAAACGACCAAATTCAACCTGTTTTGTCCCCAAATCTTAATTGCACTTTTATTATGTACTAATGGTAGAGTAGAAATACAAGGTGTCCTTTAGGGAGGAAAGAGGTTCAGAACATAGCCTTAGACAATCTTACATTGTTATGCAGAATTATTTTAAACATAAATAGACACACTTCTTAGAAACCTCTCAGTGGGGTTCTCATTAAGGTAGTACAAATCCTAATCGAAGCTGACCAAAATTAACTTGACCACAGCTGACAGGCATCAGTTGCTGTCAGTAGTTTTAGAATTAGCATGTTGGATGGGGAACATTTTTAATTGCTTAGCATGAGCAATTTTATACTCTTATTTATGAGACTAATGCCTGAAGTATTATAAATTATGTAAGTGCCATAGATTGAAAATCAATTTCCTTTTGTCTCTCCATCCCTTAATTTCATGATGGGAGTATAACAGAGTCCTAAGGTCAGGACTGTTGTGGACCCATCCTGTGAGCATGAGGCCTTGCATCAACTAGCAGCTCTAGTTAGTACAGTGCTGGAAGACACTCCTCTATCTGTCCAGTAGAGGTTGCTGCTAGTGTACCTTGAAGCTTGTGCGTGGAATAAATCACCTCTGCATGTGGAAAGCGAAACAGGGATTCGGATCCAAGGTGTGTGGCAGCGTAGAGCGTTGTCTCCTCGCTCTTGGTCCTATCCTTAAGATGTTTTTTAAAAAATCTTGTTTTTAAACAGACCAGTTCTCGGCTTTGTATTGTGTTTTCATTTTATATTAAACTATAAATTAATCTTGCCCAATTATACTATTTCTCATTATTTATTTTTGTTGCAAACTGCTCATACAAAAATAGACTTGGGGCGGTGCTTATGTGTGTTTCTCTCATAAGAATATAACCACTTAATAAACTCACAATGTGTAAAGTAAGTTATAATGCTTTGATATTCACAGAAACATGTCTGTGGTGGCTTTTCCCCAAGCAGTTGCTTGGCATTTGACCATCTTAAGTAAGTGTTTTCAGCTGAGAAGGAAATTTCAAAGGATACATAGGAAATGAAACAGCTTGTGCTTCAAAAATACTAGACTGTATTATTTCAGCGCACTTCTCAACACAAATGAATTACTATAACTAAAAAGTGTGGTTGAAATTATTCAAAATAAATAGGGTTTTTTTCTTCTTCTCCCTTTTATTTCAAATCAAAGGTAAAACTTCTCTAAGGCACTCAAAGATCTAAGGTTATCTTGCCATGCATAAACAGCTGCATGCCTAGTGCTAGCAAATAATATCAAGTGGCAAATTTCTTGTTTAAAATAAACAATAGAACACAACATCTACTCAGCATGAATTGTAAACATTGTTAACAAAGACATTTGCAATGCTTTTCATGCATCTTTTAATTTGTGACATCAGTCTTCTGTGAAATTTTACTTCAAGAACTGTGTGTATACCTGTTACTTGGTCCAAAGAGTGCTTTGCTGCCAATATATATATTTAGGACTGGGAACAAAAATGCTGCCTGTTGTAGTGTTGTGACCTAGGGCAGATTGCCATCACAAGATGCTGGCACTGTAGCCCAGATTGGTTAGTGCTTTGGCCAGGTCCATCACTCTGCTTGTAACTCGGTTTTATAGCAGAAATTGGACTGAAATTAAGTATAATGAGCACAATGATAACAAACTTCTTATCAGGCATTTCCAAGGTATTTGAATCACAAAGGTGCTAGATAAGTCCAAACAACATCATGGCCTCATTTCAAAGAGGTATAGTAGGCTCCAGCTTTATAGTCCCTTGCTCTAATGACAGTGTCCTATCTGTATTGCATGATGATTTCCCCTTGATATGCTGCTCTCTTTTGGAAGATTTCCTTTGGTAGATCAGAGGGAAAGGAGAAAATATGTAGCCTTTGAGTGCTTGGAATAACTGTCTAGATCTCTGTTAGTTCAGGTTGAGTATCCCTTATCTAAAAGGTTTAGGGTCAGAAATGTTTCGAAATTTGGGGACAATAGATTTTGAAATACCTGGATTTACATATACATACTTAAAGGGATATCTTGGAGATGGGACCCAAGTTTAAATAGGGAATCAATTTATATTTCATAAATATACCTTGTAGACATTAGCTGAAGATAATTTTGTACATTTTAATTGTGTGCCTAAACTAAAGGCTGTATACATTGAGCCATTAAAAAGAAAGAGTGCCACTATCTTAGCCACCGATGTGGAGAATTTTGGAGTATTTCAGATTTTGGAATTTCAGATAAGGTGTGTTCAACCTGTATAAGTTTGGTTTTACAAAATTGACTGACAGGTTAGAGAGCCAGTGCCTAGCTGTATATATGCTTATCCAAATGGATTATTATTAAAACTTTACCTAGTTCATGTGGTCTCTATCTAACCCAGTATTTGACAAATAAATATACAGTCTCCATAATTTAAAGGAAGTTTCAAAAATATTGCAGTTTCATGCTTAGCAAGCAAGTCAAGTAGTGAGCTTCATTTTGTAATCTTGCACATAGCAGTCTAGTTTATTTTTGCACAGTAGCAGCGTCATGTCTGCATCATGCAGTGTGGCTTTCACAGATCAGTGGTATCATTATGCTGCCAATTAGCTCCCTTCTTCCTATAATGTATAATTAGAAGAATTTTTTGTAAATAGAATATCTTTGTATACATCCAGTAGCATCTTTTAAAGCTGTTACTATATCCTTGCCTTCTGTTACCACATGGGTTATGCAACATAACACTTCAGCTCACAAGCTGTTGTTCTTGGCACCATTTCAAAGGCTTCTCTCGCTATCCAAGCTAGCAGGTACATTGCAAGTGTTTCAACTTGCCTTAGAGTTCACTGGACGTCCTTAATCAAATATTTGCAGAAAAATAATTTAAGCCGAAATCCTGCCAGATATCTGACAAAGGGCTTGCCTGCAATGCATTACTGCACCGCTATTGTCTGCTTATCTCAAATTACATGAATTAATAGATGATTAAGTTTCACATCTGCTCTGTAAACATTGGAAAAACGTTTCAACCTCCCGCTTACTGTGCCTAGAACTGTTTCTGGCTAAAAACAATTCATATTGCATCACTCCATTATCTGTGAAATGAAATGGATCTCAAAGTAATTCTTGCTTTAGTGGTTGTCCTGCGTGGGCAATACCAGTGATCTTTGTGCCCTGCGGGTTATGGTCTCTCATCCTTTGAATGCTGAGAAGTATAAGTGTCAATACTGTCTTCTATGAGTTTAAACATAAATGGTATGTAGTATTTGCTGTTGTTTTGTGCCTTCAGTTCATTTTCTGACTTATAGAGCTTGTAAGGCAAACCTATCACAGCGGTTTGTTCAGAAAGGCCTTTGCCTTCCTCTGATTATGAGGAAGTGAGGCTTGCCCAAGGTCATCCAGTGGATTTCTATGGCTAGCAGGTATTCAAACCTGGTCTCTGAAGTTGTTGTCCAACACTCAAAACAATTACACCATACTGACTTTCAAGAACATATTGTATGACTTTCTTACTATTAGCTGAATGCCAACCGACTTATCTCAGTGTAATTTGACATGCATAGCCAAAAATATAAGATATAAATTAAGAGTGGAAGATGGGGAATGAGATGTGGAACCATAGAATCATAGAGTTGGAAGAGACCTAGTGGGCCATCCATCCAACCCCCTGCCAAGAAGCAGGAAAATCACATTCAAAGCATCCCCGACAGATGGCCATCCAGCCTCGGCTTAAAAGCTTCCAAAGAAGAAGCCTCCACCACACTTCAGGTTAGAGAGTTCCACTGCTGAACAGCTCTCACAGTTAGAAAGGTCTTCCTAATGTTTAGGTAGAATCTCCTTTCCTGTAGTTTGAAGCCTTTGCTCTGTGTTCTAGTCTCCGGGGCAACAGAAAACAAGTTTGCTCCGTCCTCCCTATGACTTCCTTCCACATATTTATACATGGCTATCATGTCTTCTCTCAGCCTTCTCTTCTTCAGGCTAAACATGCCCAGCTCTTTAAGCTGCTCCTCATAGGGCTTGCTCTCCAGACTCTTGATCATTTTAATTGCCCTCCTTTGGACACATTCCAGCTTGTCAATATCTCTCTTCAATTGTGGTGCCCAGAATTGGACACAGTATTCGAGGTGTGGTCTAACCAAGGCAGAATAGAGGGGTAGCATGACTTCCCTGGATCGAGACACTTTACTCCTATTTATGCAGGCTAAAATCCCATTGGCTTTACAGGACAGTAATGTACAGTAAATTGCCAGTTGAAATGTCTGCCTGGGAAGAAATTAAGAGTTTGTTTTCCATCTAAGGCTGATACGATGGATTTTTACATCGGAAAAATAACATGAAAGCCTAAACCAAATTGCAAGTCTCAACTAGAGTACCGAAGCAATTGCTGAATAATAATCAACATTTGTATAGAGCTTTGTCAACTGAAGAATCTATTCTGGTTGGGACTAACAATTGAATTTAAATCTAACAGTGTAAGCCTTTGAATGTCACCTGGGTGTGAATCATACAATGGAACTTGTGAATGGTTTTTGTAGTGTTGTTGAATAAGAAAAACACAGTTTCTAACATTTCTTTTGAGTATTTCCACTTTTATTCAAAATGACACTTGGATATTGTAGCAAAAGTTGGATTTGCAGAGTCATTGTGGGAGGTTATTGTTCAATAGAGCACTTAAAATCAATGTAGATTAATTCAAAAAGCCATGCCCCTTGATATATTCTGGGCTCACAAAGCAAATAGGAATAGAGAACAGATTGTTACAAATCAAGGCCAAGACATAAAGTTGACTTGTTGGCTGGAAATGATAATTTAGTATTGGGATTTAAGAGGAGCATCTTTATGAAAAGGTACTTCTTAAGTGTTTTAAAAGTTGGATATAAATATACATTTTTCTGATTAAGTGTAGAAGCCATTTTTAAATTAAAATGACAGCTGTACCTTGAAACATTGCCACATAGTTCCCTGTCTAAGCCTGGCTCTATCAAAGATCATTCAGGTTCCTTCTCTGAATATTGGCCTTCAGAATTAAGTCACTTTCGTCATCTAGCCCTTTTAGACTATAGTCTTCCCTGAGGCTTATCTCTGAATAAACTCATAAACATGGTGCAGGAGTGATAAGGCAAAAAAATCCAAGCAATATTTTACACAATTGTTTGATAAGAAGTAAGGCCATTCCCAATTTGCAGTGTTTGGTCCAGTGGGTACAAAGAGACGAGAATGATTGGTCTTGGCCTTGAACATTTGTAAAAATGCAATGTGTTTTTGAAGACCTTGAACTAAAGGATGACTGTATTTGTGCCTCCAAACTGAGATTAAAATATTAAGGACAAAATATTAAATGTTTTTGCAAACTATTGATATTAAAATGTATTCTGTGGGTGGAGACTGGAAAGCACTTTACAAAGTGCCTTTTAATAGCCTTAATGCTGATATGCAGAGGTACTAATGCTTAGAAATGCTTACAATTTGTTAAAACTGGTACATTTTCAAAGGAAACCAGTTTTCCTGTGTTGGAACTGGGTCTGTGTATTTTAGTTTAACAGTTTGGGGGATATAAGGTTAATATGCATCCTATCAAACACCATTACTACTTTGTCAAATTACATAAACAGCCTTGAGTCCCCTTCAGCTGAATGGAAGTAGGAGAGATATGTCTACCTCTTCCCTCTGTGAAGGAAGGTGTTGTTGGGATCGATTAAGATCATTCTGCATCATTTGTGTTCTGCCTTGTGTTCTTTGTATGCTCCTTCTCAACAGATTCCCTAGACAAATTGTAATTTCTGACAAGCTACCCGTAACATTGCTTTTTTTGTTTGATACTAGATGTGAAGCCGGCCGTGTGAGCATCTTTTCATGTTGCACTCCAGGCATTAGATATGTTTTCAGTGCAATGCCACTGCCTTACCTAAGGCTGTTGCATTGATTCCACCTGTAGAAATTCTAGCCTCATTCTGACCTTGACTGTAGCAAACAGAAAGACCAACAGGAAACTACCCAAAGGTGATACTTGTTAAATGAAGAATTATCATGGACTCCATGTCTTTAATGTGGATCACTGTTCCGAACAGGGCGTGTTT